GAGCGCAGCGACGAGTGCCGCAAAACGTGTGATCACTGTTCATACTACGACATAACTTTGATTAGCTATAACTAGGTAAATCGACGTTTTAAAAATGATGGTGCCAAAAATATATATAAATATATTTGTGTAACAGATATTCCCAGTTACGGGATAACTAGGCGGATAACTTATTATTAAAASAACATCAAAAGATATTAAGATAAAAATTGTAGGTCATAAACTCGTACCTATCTAATGTTTCGGTCGGGCTTGAAATCATCGTAATTGGCACTCGGCAGTATGCGGTATGCATTATTTGTGAAACATGTGTCTTAATCTTTTAAATATTTTTGAACTTTTCTCGTGCAAAACAAACGGGCCCGTTAGTATCGAAGTACTAGAAAAACTTCAAGAGTGGAATCTAATAAGTAAAAATAATACATTAAAAAGCATATTCTTCGTTTGTGTCCCTTGAATAGTGCTATCGATGGATTTGTATGGCGACGTCGAGAAAAAAAAAACAAAAGGTCTTCGAGCACCATCATTTTTAAAACGTCGATTTACCTAGGTTTCGAAAAAAAATTGAAGAAATCACATGGTAGCTAAACTGCAATTTAAGCATTTTATTTGTATACACTACACCACTACACGTCTACACCAGACATTAGTCATTTAAGTCTTTAAGATAACTAAAATAAGACTCTGTAAACACAGCTTTAGAGCCTGCCGTACAAGAATAAAATTGTAGTTTATCGGTACGTTTTTCACTTAACTTTTTTTCTTGGCGTGGAACTTTTTTTCTGATTACCGTTGTTTACCACTGTACCACCAAATGTTGCTTGAAAAACTGTAGTATGTACCAGCATATAATATTAGCGGTTCTCAAGTCTCTAGCTTTTTGACGTCCTGACCCATTATAATTTATGGTCATTAAAAAGTGTATGTTTTCAATATTTATGTCCATAGTCCATAAAATAATTGTTGACCAACCTAACTGACGACTCTAATTTGAAAATCGCTGCAGTATAATATACCATATTACCATATATATTATATCAGGTATACCATGTGAAACATAATATGTATGGATTGATTAAAATATTTATATGTAAAAATTGTACTTCTATGATATTAAACGGCCCTACACGCTACACAACTAAAAAAATAAACTAAAACGTCTATAACCAAATTTGTTAAGTGTTAAGTAGAAAATTAATTTGTGCTAATTTTTAAACATTTTACACAATTTAATAGTTTACATATCAGCTCCCACCACAAGAATCAGTGTAGCCGTGTAGGGCGTAGGCCGTAGCAGCAGACAGCAGTACAGTTATGTATGATAGATGACAGTCATCAACATTTTTGAATTATGACCCATAACATAGAGTACAATTGTTCAGTCTCAAACAGACTAGTCAGACTACGAAGAGTGGAATTCTCTCTAAACCTATAGAGATAATATACAGTTAGTCAGTATAAACTAATATTTGATAAATTCTACACAATTAATTAGTTCACTTCTCTCATGCTCATTTACATAGTTGCTGTACAAACAAACATGGGTAGATACTAGATAGACTATTTTGGTCTACCAGAAATTTCCAAAAATAGACCCTAATATAAAATGTCAACTGATAAAAAAATTAAATACCAACTACCAAGTACAATTGCTTAAGGCTCTATCTAACAGACCGCCTTATAAGGTGCGTTAAAGCAGTAAATGGCTAGTTGGCCTGATATTTTCACGCGATGTGAAAATGACACTTTTTGTTTGACAGAGGCTTAGGTACAGWGGGGAGCCCACTGGAAAATTTCCAGCTTTTTGGTATGCCTATCCACCCATTGGCCATGACCCTAAATCTTGATACATTATCATTTCTTCTATGTGTTTTTTATTTTTCTTCTTGCCCCATTGTTGTACCGAATATTGAAAACATGGGGCATTCATGTTTTTCTTATGAAAAATCTATTTTATAATTTACTTGAACCAACTTGGGGCACTATTTTAAATTTAAAAAAAATACTATATAATTTTCTGAATTTAAAAAATATATATTGTACCTGTTGAGTGTATATTAACATAATATACAAAAAAATAAAAACATTCTTGTTCTTATAATTTTCACCAATTTTTCTTCGACATTCACCCATCCGTAGAAAGTTAAAAATATAACTGTAGACTAATTATTCAGACTAAATTGTATTAAGGTTAGTCTTGTTTAAATGGAATTAACTTGTTTAAATTTATCCTAATTATAAATTTGACCATGGATGAATAATAGTGGCCCAAGATGGACTAGAAATTAAAAAACAATTTACAGATATGTATGCAGGATTATAATAATTTATTATGTCGATTCGTAAATTTAATACACATCTGAACAAATTTTATATCATACATTTCTATGTAAAACGTCTCATTCAATGAGTATTAGTTAAGTTTTCGGACCTTTTCAAAACCATAGATATTAGTAAAAAAAGAATTAATAAAAATTAATACTTTAGTTGAAAATTTGATG